AACCCAGTGTCTCACACATGCTAGGCAAGTGCTCCCACACTGAGCTACAACCCCAACCCCCAAAACAGTGTATTTCTTAAAGTACTGTGGTTTGTGTATCAGGGTAATACAAAAAGACCAAAGACTTTTTACTTGTGCAAACCTGAATACAAACATGAGCTGTCAGTTAATAGCCATTTGCCTTTCAGGAAATTATTTAACTTTCTGGTCCTCAGTGTCCTCATCCACAAAATTAAGGATACCTCACTGGAAGAGTGTGAGAATTTAATAAGATATTCAGTTGCTCTGCAGTTCCTGACATGATGTTGTAATAGATAGCATATACTTGGATCATATTTTTATGAACACTATGCCTATCTCTGTTTTATGGTATATTTAGACCATTTACATACAACATAATTGTTGGTTTGTTAGGACTTAAGTCTGTCCTATTTTATTATTTGTTTTTGGTTCATTTTCCCTATTTCTCATTCCTATTTATCTTCTTTCTCCCTCCCTCTTTTTCTCTTCCTTGTACCAGAGATTGAACCCAATGGCATGTTACTACTGAGCTACATTTCTATCCCCATCCCAGCCTTTTTCATATTTAATGGGATTTCTAACTTGCCCTAGTTTCTTTGCTTCTTGTGGACTGCCTGAACTTTTTTTGTGATTTCTTCTTGTTTTATTTACATATTTTAAAATATAGTTTGTATAATTTTCTTAGTGGTTGCTCTTGATATTAAAATATTCATTAATCAACAATTGCTGTATTCTAGGCATTGTGTGTGTCTGTTTAATCTTTACAAAAACCCTAAGAAGGTACTCTTTTAATTGTATTTTCCTGAGGAAATTGATGGTCAGAGAAGTTAATTAATTTGCCTAAAGTCACAGTGGTTAAATTGGTGGGTAAACCTTGGTCTGACTCCCAAGTTTATGCATTTAACTATATTTTATGTCTTATTTTCCTAGGTTTTGATGATGATGGTTCAGAATTTCATGAACATATATTTTTGGATAAAAACCTGGAGGGTTTTCCAAAACAAGGACCAATTCGCCACTTCATGGAGCTGGTGACTTGTGGCCTTTCCAAAAACCCATATCTGAGTGTTAAACAGAAGGTTGAGCACATAGAATGGTTTAGAAATTATTTTAAAGAAAAAAGGGACATTCTAAAAGAAAATAACATACAGTTTAATTAAGACAGGGAAATTTTTATTTCAAGCTGTTGGAGATGGATATTATAACTAAATAAAATAATTTTACTAAAAGTTTTCATCTGATTTGACTGGTTTAAAAATAGATTTTTTTTTTGAAATATGACAGTACCTGAAAAATATTCTTGTATGGAAAAAAATCACTAGCATTTATAGGTTCAAAAGAATGTCTGAGAATTAATAACTTTAAGACAATTTCCCCAAAACATTTTTATTTTTATTCAGTGACTGTACTTTGAAATACAATTCATTTATGAGCCATATATTTGATGACATCAAATTGCTTACATTAGTTTGTTTTTGTTGGTATGATACAATAAATGAAGCAGGCTAACTTTATAAAGAAAAAAAAGGTTTGTTTAGCTCATCACTTTAGAAATTGAAAGTTCACACAGCATAGTGTGAGCTCTGACAGGGGCCTCATCAGAAAGGGCAGGAGTAAAGATGGGAGGAAGACATGAGATCTTTTTTTTTTTAAAGAGAAATTTTTTTTAATATTTATTTTTCAGTTTTCGGCAGACACAACATCTTTTATTTTATGTGGTGCTGAAGATCGAATCCAGTGCCCCGTGCATACCAGGCGAGCACGTTACCACTTGAGCCACGTCCCCTGCCCCAAGACATGAGATCTTGAAACAAGAAGTGAGAGAGAATAGTCCCTTTAGAGGGCATGCCCCTAAGGACCTCCTTTCTAGGTCACACTTTTTTAAAATCAGAATTTAACCTAGGGGCACTTAAACACAGAGCTACATCCCCAGCCCTTATTATTTTTATTTTGAGACAGGGTCTTGCTAAGTTACTTATGGCCTCGCTAAATCATTTAGCCTGGCTTTGAACTTGGTATCCTTCTGCCTGAGCTCCCAAGTTGCTGTGATTACAGGTGTGTGTGTGCCCAGCCAGGCCCCACTTCTTAAAGGTCTACTGCTTCTACATTGAGGACCAATCCTCTAATATATGAACCTTTAGAGGACATGCTCAAACATCAAAATCATTGTAGGGCTGTTGTAACATTTGAGATGATTTGTAGACATTCATATGCATAGAATATATATGTATATTTATATATAATATATAATATAAGTAATTGCATGTATTTTATTTCACACCAAATTACCCTTGCATAAGACTAGGTCAGTATAAACAGATAAACTT